TGGAAAATTGGGCCTAAAAAAACTAGGCCTAAGCATGGACACAAACCGGACAGGAGGGGCGAGGAGCGAAGACTTCCTGATTCGGATTACTAGTTTCCATTGATTGCAGAATCGGAGGTGAGGGCCTTGTGAAAAAAAAAAGACGTTCGAGCACTTCTTCAAATGACTAATGACCTGTGCGCTCCTCGGGGACGAATTACTGCAAATGTTACATGTATGTCGAATGGACAAACACATATATCAGAAAGGCCTGCGCAAAGGCATTCTTTAACATAAGCCATTAGAGAGAGAGACAGAACAATCTTTTTGCACTTATCCAGGAAACCCAATCTGGGCACTTTCTCCTACTGTTTGGGTCTAGTTTTTTGGACGAATAAAAATGGCAATTGGAAAATGAATGAAACAATGCGTTCCAAACAATAATGTTCTTTGAGAATTGCTTTCTTTTAGCATATGACGAAAAAAAAAGAAAACAAGGAAATCCATGTTTAAACATAAGCCATCATATCAAACATCGCTGGTTATTTGAGCCCAGCTGGCAGATTTAACTCGAGAACAAATAATCTTTCGTGCCTTCATGAATTCGACTCTCCAAATTTTAGAAACATTTCCAGAAATCTGATTTAGCAATCGAACAGTGCGTGAGTATAGGGCAAAGCCACTTTCAATGCCTAATCTTTGTAGCACTAAGCTACATCTTTCATTTGCATCTACATAGTACCCGGAACAACGGAAATGGGGTGGGTGGGAGCGGGGTGCGAGGGGGGAGGGGGAGTCTAATCAATTCTTTTATTGCTGCCGGATGTCTGCATGCCGGCGCTGCTTTATGGACTTAGTGGTCTAGGACAAAAAAAGTACACCAATGCACTTATTGAGCGACAGTATTTAGTTTTGGCAGCTGTAGCATTTCGGCTAAATTTACAATTTTGCTACTTTTTTTCTCAAAGCGAATTTCATTGAGTTTTTTTAATGATTTTCCTGTTTTTTTTTTCTTTTTTTACTTTGATCCAAATGAGAAAATGGATAGTACAAAGGCTTTGTATGTATATCTGTATATATTTGTATGTATGCATGCATGCATGTGTGTATGTATGTGTGTATGTATGTATGTATGCATGCATGTATGCATGTATTATGTATGTATGTATGCGTTTATGTATGTACGTATTGTATGTTGACTTTTTTTTGCGTTCCTCACACATTTTTTTAAGGAGATTTAAAGGCAAATTTTTTTAAACAGATTTTTTTTCGTCTGCACGGGAATTTAGTCTTCAACTGGCAAAATGAAAAAACTTATGCTCGCGCTTGCGCTGGTTTGGTGCTTCGCTCCGTTACATGTATAAATTTCGTCTTCGTGCAGGACATTTACATTAAAAAAAGCTGTTGTTTATTCAGACTTCAATAAGGCTGAAAAAAAATTAAAAAAACTAAAGTTCTCACCATGCGCCTTCATTTAGCATTTACAAACTTCGAAACTTTTTTATTAGCTAAATCAAAGCGGTAGCACCAACCAAAATGTTCAACTTTGCTTCACGCAAACAATTTCATACGCATATAAAGTAAAATTAAACATAGTTTGTGCTGTTACAGTGCGAAAGCATGAATGAGGGAGCACAGTAATAATGTGCTGTGATGCAGTGTAGCGCTAGAAAGGAGAGAGAGAGAGAGAAAGCAAATCAGAAGAATGACAAAAATAAAGATGGGAAAAGAAAGACAAAAGAAGAGAGCACTAAAAAAACCGAGGATTTACAGCATAAAGAGAGCTATCTCAAAGTCATTGACAAAGGATCAGAAACTATTGGTGTTTTTGGGATTACAGTACAGTGCTGGGCTTTGATTTTGTGCCAGTCAATTGCGGATTACGGTAGACAAAAACAGTTAGGGCAAAAATCTCAAAGCATCAGATTCATAATTTTTTAAAGTTTCAATTAATTTTCGATATTTTATTGATCGATTTACTTACTTACTTGAACACGGCGTTTCCGTCACTAACGCGCTGTCCTCCAGTGACAGAGCCGACAACCACGCCACTGATTCTACCCTGAGCTCGCCTCATCCACAACACTCCATACGATCGAGTTAGTGGATCGGACCAGTGCATCGGTTGCCTTCCTGCTTATACATTTTAAATGTCTATGTGAGCTAAAGAGTTTGCCTTAAGGACAAGCAAAAATATAATTATAACAGCTCTCAGGCAGCCGGTACGGAGATCACCACTACAACTGGGAGGCACATACACTCCAGTGCAGCTGTGCCCGGTGCATCTCTTCCAAGTAGCATTTAGTATGTGCCACGCTAATATCCAGCATTCCTCTAGAAGACGCCCGAGAAATCGTTTACCTTTCATCGACATTTGTTTAGTAAAATTATTGCTCTTACCCCGGGGTAAAGTACTGAGTTTTTATGTTCCGGGATATTACGAGCTAGAATTTTGAGAACTCTATTACCCGAAGTGGAGCACTCCCATAGAGCGGCAAGTCCAACTCATTCCGTTGGCATCTGAGAAATTTTCGATCACTTCATTAATAACTTTGACACACTGATCACCAACCACGTAACGCAGCAGCAATTTGATAAGCACATGATCATTCTCTTCCCCTCCCCTTCACCCCCCACGCCGCCAACCCCCCTCCCCCTCCTCGCCAGAAAAAAACCAGCAAACATTCAAACAATTTAAATTTGTACAAAGATCTGAATTCCTAGTAAATTTCTTGTAACGAATTTCGACATTTTCAGCCCTCCAGAAGAAACATCACCCGATAAGGCGAAAATAATCTTCGAATATGATAATGAGAAATACACGGCAAAACTGGCGGACGATGAGGATGCTACAGAACGTGCCAATTTTTTGCTACGCTATAAGAAATCAATTTTGTTCATTGCTGTAACTCTACTGCTACTTTTGCTGTTAATAATGGTTGTATTGATGGTTTATGCTGCACATCAAAGGAGACAATAAAATCACTGCTTTTCATCATCGTTATCATTATCACATCGGTTTCCAGGTATAATATTCCGAGGACGAACAAAATATAAGTGACATCTTTTCATAATTTCAATATTTCAGCTCTAAATTAATAATAAACTAACTTCGTCCAAATCTACGATTATGAAAATTTTCATGAAGTCTACCGATTTTGGGATTCTTATTCTATTAAAGCGGGACAAATTCGCCAACCGCAAGTCGGAAAGCTGAAACTTTAGGGGAATGTTCCCTATTTACACACTACCAAAACCAGCTGTTTAAAAGCGCTCGGGACTCACGTATGGACACGTGAAAGTTTCGGCGGCAAAATTGCTAGCTCGGGAACGAGAAAATTTAGAAAGCTGAAACCCAGCCATGCCATGCACTAGGAAAATCGATACAAACAAAGCAAAACAAAACCAGAGATCCACAATAATAATTTAAAGCAACAGAATTTTTTCGTGACATTTACAGCAATCAAATCTAATTACAATCATACATCAACATAAATACCCATAAATGCATACAAACAAACACCGGCAATAGCAGTACCTAGCAACAATTACGGCATAATTGCCGCTTTTCAGTAGTCTGTGATGAATTTAGCTAAAACTTCGTTTGCATTGATACCCATTTGTTCTAATTCTTCGATTTTTTCCGCAAACTGATCACGTAGCAGTACCTAAATCAGTGGTCCGCTCATTTCATTTTCAAGAAAAAAAAATATAAGAATATCAAAAATTAAAATCATTTTAAAATGGTATTTCTTACACATGAGAATAATAAATGGCCAGCGCACCGACTGCCCGTGCGAAGATGCGTTTTTTGCATAGCCACTAAACGGCACTGTTTTTTCCAGCAGATGTTTCTAGCTCAAAGAATTGAGATTGGCCGCCGGGACTGTCAGGAAACATCCCCTTAAAATCTAGCTTTCTAGCTTCCCTAGTTCTCGAGTTAGCAGCTTGCCCGCCAAAAACTTTGGCGAGCCCGTAGGTAGATACCACGCGGGTAAGAGCGCCCATTCTGGGATGGGGGCCCCTACATGCACATAGATTAAGTTCTCAAAGTTTCAGCCCTGTAGTTTTTGTAGATCTCGAGATAAAAAATCGATACAGGCGAACACACAGGCACAGACAGACAGACAGACACACACAAACACACACACATACAGCCCCTCATCAATATATGTTTTCTGCATTGCATAGACTTAAAAAATAGACAAAAAGAGCTGCCAAAGGACAAAACAACAATCAAATTAATGGCTAAAAAAAAGGCCAGGAAGAAATAACTCATCTTACTAATCATCAGATCGAGAATTCCACCCCGCCGATGAGATATCCAATTCCCCTGTGGCTCTTTTGCTAGCTTCGATGATAAATTGTTAGTGATAGTCAAAACTGCCATCAGCTTGCTTGCAAACGACTCCCGAGGGAGGAAGCCACCAACAGCCTTGTTGGCTGTGAGCGGTTTGATGTTGATCAATACCATCAGGCTATTTTCATACGCCATCCTCTCACACGGACAGCAAATGCGGAAGGGGAAGGCAGCTTGATTTTTAATAGAAAAAATTACCAAAGGGAAGACTAAAGTTTCTTGCACTATACAAAAAATATCCTTTCTGGTACCAAAAAATCAAAAAAAAAGTATTCAAAAAATACCTTTTTTGGTATGCTAAAAGTTTTTTTGGTACAAAATATCGCTATTTTCATATTTAAAAAAAAATTCTGCTTTCTTACAACAATCTGTATATTAAAACGAAAAAAAAAATGATATAATGA